GTTATATAGAGTCATGCTCCTGTTTCATATCTCTGATTGTCTCATCAAAGGTCTGCCTTTAAGAAAGCATTATTAATCAGACAGACACTAAAGCATATTCCAGAAATGGTCATACTAGGATTTATTGTTTCATCACCATCCAGAGGCTTCACGTGAGGCTGTCTGGCATGTAGTTCCCTTGGGTCATTTTTCTCACACTTCTTGAAGGTGGAAATGTCATTTGCTTTCCTCCAGAATTTGGGCATTTCTCCGAGCCACCGTGATCATTCAAAGATTGTTGAGAGCGGCCTCACAAGGACATCAGCCTGTTCCCTCAGTACTGCTGGGTACAGCCCATCAGGGCCTGTGGATATCCAATAGAACTATGCCAAAAAGCCCCAAAACAACCCACCTGTATTTGTTCTGGAATGGTATATATTTATTAATTCTTAGGGTAATTCTAAAAGAGATCTAAACTTTTGCAGATAGGTAACAATATTGTTTGTTAAAAATAATTTGACGTGTGCAGAGGTGGTTCCTTCATTCCTTACTGAATTCAGCATAAGATTGTACTTTCAATCCCATTATACCTTTAGCCAGTAGCATTTATTCACTATATAACAGAAGAAAAATCTTAACCTTTTATGAAAGAAACTTGTGGGAATTAAATATGTTTTACAAGTGCTATTAATTCTTTCTGAGCACCTCTTCTTTTTGAGTTTGGTTTTTTTTTTTTTTTTTCAGAATTCTTGGAAAAGAGCTGTGAAGATCATTTTAAAAAAATCAGAGGAAATATATAAAGGACTCACAGCATTTACTTTAAGATACTAATTCAGATACATCAGAGCATGGAAAAGGAGCAAGAGCCTTTTTTTTTTTTCGTTTGGGGCTGCTCCTTAGTGCCAGTAGTAAGAATCAGCTTTGAACACTGCATCAATAGCTTCAGTAAACCTGCAGAGTATTTAATTTTTTTTTCCTATGCTAAATTGATACCTTTGCAGTGTTTTGTGATTAACAGGGCCTGAAGCTGTGAATTAAGGTATTGCTATTTTTTCCACTTGGGTGAAAATTGGGTAAATTCATAATGAAAGAATTGTGTGGAGGGATTTCAAATGAACTAAACCTAATGAGTTATATAGTTTGTAGATTTGAAAAGTGTGGTAACATTCACAAACAAATAGAAGTACATCAAAATTGAACTTTAAAAATTCGGAGTGTACAGATGAATCAAGCACATTGACTCATAAATGTTAATCTTTTATTATCACTCCTTAAAATTCTGAGCTAGCACTGGAAAAATGCTTGCAAATGGTTTATTGTCCCTTTCAGTTTATTACTTAAATCTCACGTCACTGATGAGACAGTATAAATAACACCCCATAGTGAGTCTGGATGCTGGGATTTAGGAAGGAAGGAGATGAGAGCCTTACTTAGATGCCTCCCACGCTGGCTCATTTGCTCCCTTCTCAGCCTTACATTTGCCAGCTTCCCACTACTCTTCCCTCCTCAGGAAGGAGGTAGCTGCTGGCCAAGGAAGGCTGGGCACAAAGCCTTGTTTGTTCATGCTGTGCCACCACTTGCAGCTACCAGCCTTGGGCATCCCTGATCAGAATGCATGCAGGTTCTCTGGCCTCCATCTCTCTCTCATCTCTGGGATCTTCCCCTATTTCCAGCATCTTACCTTTATGCAGGGTTTTCACCCTTGCCCTTCTAGCCCTCCTTCTTTCTGACCTTACTGTTTCTTTCTGGGGACCTTTCTTTTCCCTCTCCGTGGCTTTCCGGACACCCAAGCTCATGTTTCCAAATTAAAGAGTCCAGGTGCAGCAGCACAACATGTTATCAGCCTTGTAGCAGGTGATTCAGTTTCCTGTATCTTTGTCACTGGAGGATTGAGGATATGCAGCTTTTGATTAGTCTGGATATTATAAAAATATTGCAACTTTCCTGTACCAGTTGCATCTAGCAAGTAGCAGGCTTCTGCTCAAGCATTGCAAATACAGTTCTCAAAATGTATCTCTCCGTCTGTCCCCATCTCCTCCCTGAATATCAACTTAGCATTCCTAATTAGAACTGCTTTTACCTAAAGCAGTGGGATAAAGAAATAATAGGTAAAGAAAACAAAATTTATTGTATTAGAAGGATTTTCCCTGTATGTAAAATTTAGAGTGCTAAAATACTTGCATTAATATCAAGAAAGCTTAATGGATTCAAATTTTCCATATCAAAGTTTCCCTACTTCAAAGCAGAACAAATAAACAGAATGATTATAAATATGCACATGTATAGATTTTTGGAAGTGATTATTTCTAGTGGGTATTAAGGTCCAGATAATTTTAGTTTAGTTTTTAATTCAGGTTCTAGGATGGAGATCAGATATGGAGTCTTTGGCCTGTATGAACTGCCAGAACTCTACTAACTTTAATGAAACACTGGAAACTGAAACTGTATTTGATTTCCAGGATTGAAAAGAATAAAATGGTTTCATTTGTCTTAGTCTAGCTGAGCTGTATAATCAGTTAATTGTTATTGTTTAACCATTGCTGTAAGTTTAGAGTAGTGTTTAGTTGTGAGTTATATGAATTTTTTAAGTGATGGATGCCAGCACTTCTTGTGAGTAAGGGCTTAAGTTACAAATGCATGTGGGAACTCAACAGAATACATTACTTTTAAATGCATTCCAAATGGGAGAAGGTAGCAGGAGAATGCCTGCTTTTCATAGCTGCAAGATATTGCTAGTCTTGTGATTGATGGTTTCTTCTGCCATGAGAGGCATGGATGCAAGGTGACAGTGCCCTTTGTGTGAAGCTCTGTTACTCAAAGGAGCAGGATCTCATCTCTGCTTATAGTTCAAAGCCCTTTTGGACTTGGAACACAAAATGATGAAGTAAATCATTTGCCTCTTTCTGAAAGCAAGACCTTGCCTCCCTGATTTGCAATGTCTTCATGTTTTACTTTCCAGCTGTGCTGAATGATTGATCTGCTACTGAGCCCAGAACAAGGAGTACTAACCATTAACAGCCAAGTCATTAATATACCTGATGAAATAGTCTTGTCAAAACTGCTGTAGTTTCAATGTCTATGTTTTGGTGATACTAGGAAAGCTTAAACAGATGATGACAAGGTTGTCTGAGATAACAGTGTCATATTAAGAACATAATATTGCAAACTTTTCTGCCGAATAATTAAGCTTTCTAGGATGTGCTTACAGCCATATTTGGAGGTCCCTTTTTTTTTTTTTACAGGACAGTTTTACATATAGCCACAAAATTGTCTTCACACCATCAGTACTCTGTCAAAGCAAAAGGGTAGCCTGATTACAGAAGGTTTTTGTTACCAAGGAAGGCCTCAATTTAATTTGGAAAAAATATACATATCTTTGTCTTCATCAGCAGGGCATTAGGGTTTTTTTCTAGTGAATAACAGGAATATTCTGAAAGTTAAATGTTTGAATGTTAATGGCTGTATGAAAGGCTTCCTAGACATGTAATTTTTAAAAAGTTGACTGACTAGATGGTAGGAAGAAGTTTAAAAGTAGGACCTAATTTATAAATCACTTCCTAAGGCAATACTACTAATGGGAAATTTGGATTTCAGGTTTGTTTCTACAGAGAAAATTATATCTATACTTCTCTTGTAGAGAAGCAACTGAGACCAGGCCATAAGTCTTTATTGGTACCCTCCTCTAGTTAGTTAAAAATGTTTTCTTGATCAGTATGCAGATTTTTGGTTCACTTTTCATTAGTAGACAAGGAACAAGTAAATGAAAGTGTATCTAAAATAGTCTGTTTCTGCTGATCACTCGGTATAATTAATTCAGCAGTCTATGTGGGGATCAGTGAACTGATCACACAAGTCCCCAGGGCATTTGGATCTCTTAGGAATTCCTTTGAATGGAACCACTAAAAAACAAGGCTGGGATGGGAGAGTTGTTTTGATTTGGGGTGTTTTGTTTGGTTTTTTTTCTTTCTGTCAGTTGCAAATCAGGAATGTATTTTTGTTGAAAGATAAAGTATTTGTGTTAAGTGCCTACATACCTGTTGTATTCATCCTGATATCTGTGAAGACTAAGCACACAAATAACTTGTTTAAATGGCAGTCTGAATGAGATCAAATGTTTGCATATGTGATTAGTATTTAATAACATTTGACAGATATTTCTTTAGACTGTCTTATCTGATATATGTTTAAGATATTAAATAAAAAGGAAAATATTTCATTTAAATCTGTTTTTAAAAGTGTTGTGGTGCTGGTTGTCTCTGTATTATAAATAGTTTTTAAAACATTGTAGTTGGTTATTCTTATAGTTTGCACTAGTACCTTTAACTATCCTCTGACTTTTGCAGCTCTTACACTAGTTGCAGGCTCATGTCACTTTATAAGGATTTTGTCTTTAGGAAATGCATAACCATCTTCCAGGCTGCTCTGCATGGCTTTTTTCTTTATTGAAATTTGAGTATATCATTACATGTTTTGTTTTTAAGCTCTAATATATTTTTAACTTGTGTGATCAGTTCATTGATCCCCACATAGACTGCTGAATTAATTATACCGAGTGATCAGCAGAAACAGACTTATTTTAGATACACTTTCATTTACTTGTCAAAAAAAACTTGCAGTATTTCTTTATTGGTATATCCAGTTTATTTATGTAAGTACACCTTCAAAGTGCAGTGAGTCAAGCCTGTAAAAGAGTATTTGAAAAATTTATGACATTTGATTGAACTCTGACAATTTTGGTAAATGTTGATATTCTATTATAGTCTTGTGTTTGATTGGAAAAATATTGCTGCAGATTTGTAAGTGCAGCTTTATGCTTTTTCCAGTGGTCATTGTAGTATGAAGGTATATCATCACTCTTTTTGTCTTCAAAATACTATGCAGTGAACAATTCCAAGTTCAAGGTTCAGCATCATAGTGGCCAAAAGGAGTTTTGCATTGTTCTGTGATGAAGTACTGCATAAGTGAAGAACAGTAATTATGTTACTAATTCTATTAATTTTTGTGTGATCTTAATTTTATAGCTTCTGCTACATTTGAAGACTTTCAGATCCGGCCCCATGCTCTGTTTGTTCACTCATATCGGGCTCCAGCCTTCTGTGACCATTGTGGAGAGATGCTGTGGGGGCTGGTGCGTCAGGGGCTCAAATGTGAAGGTGAGCTGCAGTGAAATGCAATTTTTCAGGCTAAAGAAGAGACTTCTCCATTCTGCTTCCGTGTGTTGTGTCTAATGCTGCTTTAAAATTGGTTAGAGATGCTAAGAACTATCAAAGTAGTTAACTAATTAAAGAACTTGCCTTTTTGACTGCTGAGGCAGTCTTAGATATGGATCTGTAACCTTGAGTGTAAAAAAATTTGGTTGATATGTATTTTTAAGAAAAGGCTGCATGTCTTACTTTTCCCTTACAATTCTTAATGAGCCTGTGTCTCCTTTTGTATCACAGTGAGTCTGGTTATTTAACTGAAGTTACTGTCAATCCAAGTGAGTTTGTAATAGCTAAGTTTCCTCATTTTGCCACACCCATTTGACTTCTGGTAGACTGAATCCAACAGAAAATACCATTTGCAGTCAGACTTCCTTGTCTTCCAAATGCTGGTCATAGAAATTTTCTGCACGTTGAGATCACAGATTTTGAAAAATCAGAGAAAAAACACTGGTTGTAGATGTATCTATTTTGAGCTGATAACATTATCTCTCTAAAAATTTGCTAGAATACAAAAGCATTGTAGAGGGAAATGTTTAATCAAAATTCAGGCCAGTTTTTAATTCAGTTTTTTAATTTGTTTTGTGTTTGAAAAATCCAAAATTATTTGCTTTTTTTTAGTAGCAAACCACAATCGGATGGTTTTACATTTCTCTTTTCAGGATGTGGTCTAAACTACCATAAGAGATGCGCATTTAAAATTCCCAACAACTGCAGTGGTGTACGGAAAAGACGCCTGTCCAATGTATCCCTGACAGGACTGAGCACCATTCGAACGGTTTCTGCAGAGCCCTCACCCAGCGTGGCAGATGAAGCCCTTCTGGTATGGGATTCCCTAGCTGTAGAGGCCATGGGAGGAGCTGAGAAACGATGACATTTCGTGCTATAGAATCTGGTTTTGCCTGTTACAGACTACAGAGGAGGGTGGTATGTAAATTATAAAGTAAGAGAAGGCATCTTGATGTAAAAGGGAGGTCACCAGTATAAGGTATGTGGGTTTAAGGTATGTGGGTTTAAGGTATGTGTCACTTCTGATACTCCCAGGAGTCTCCTCCTTTGTCAAGAATTAGGTTATTTTTAAGATCTAAAACTGCCATCCATGCTCATATAAGTAGTTGGATCTTGGAGAATCTCTTTTGGAATTAGATGTAGAATTTCTTCTATATCAGACCATTATTTCCCTTGGCTTACTAAACAGGAAAGATTTGCCTCATCAGGATGCTGACCCAGACACCACAGCATTAAACTGGGTATCTGTCACAGTCAAGTCTGTAGTTACTTGGAGCCTGCATGGTTAGCATATTTCTGTGTTCAGAAGAAAGTAGGAGTCATCTCCATTAAAGCCTTAAATATCTCTTTGTGGTGAATGTATTTATATATCTGTATATATATGTGTAAACGTATAGATAGGTGTACAGTATACACAAAAGCATATAAATATATGGTATACTAGTATATTCATTAATACATTCGTTTTCTGAAATGAAAGCAACTCTTCTGAGAACAAAATGTTGATTGAGGTGTAAATGACAATGATACCTATTTTTTATTTTTAGCATGTTCTTTTTAGCACTCACGATCATAATATACTTGGATAGATAAGATTTTACACAATGTATAAATGAATCCACTCCTAAGTGTAGGTTTTGAAAACCTTAAGGTTTAAAAGAGAGGAAAGAAATTATAAGTACACACAACAATTATCATGTTTTCCTCTCAATTAGAATATTAAACTTATTAAACTTGACATACTAAAAGGACACTATTGCAAATTATGTAGACGTGGTGTTAGATGCAGTACCATCTATGAACCATAATTATGTACTTATGCTACTGATTATCATTAGTCTAAAGCTACTTGGAAATTAAGGTTAACATTATGAATCTGTATTTTTAATTGAAAAGCTGCATAAATGAGTAAGGTGCTTAAGTTCTGCAAACTACAGCAACAAATGTTTACAGATTAATCATAATTCTCAGCAGGTTGTTTCAGAAATTACTTAGACCAAGACAGAAAATTTTGAGGAAGGCTGACCCTAATTCTGATCTCTCTTTTTTTAAAATTTTGATTAAAAAATTGTATGAGTGAGCATCCTGGCATGCCCTCTATAAATATTCTGCACTGAACTGCACAGTTAAAATGTAGCAAAAATTTTTCAATTTGAAAACAAATTTTTTGACTTTGTTGTTTGCTGACACATTCTTGTACAAAATACCTGTTTTACAAAGCTATGTATTTCAGAATGTTTGAAAGCATAAAAATTGCCAGTGAATAAATGCAGTAAGTGTCATCTATACTGCAGGCTGTACTTCTCTGAGAGCTTGGAAACGTTGGTGTCCCTGTGTTGATGATTCAGAACATCACACATGCTCACACACATGTGCACGCCCAAAGAAAATATATTTACAGTACATAAAGGGATGGGCCTAGAGAAATCAATTAGCTGTCTTATCTCACTTTTATTTCATGGAATCATGGTATCATTTTCCAGATTTTCAGAAATGCTCTCACACATGGCTTCTATATGTCTTTTGTTCTGTTTAGTTTTTTTCCTTTGAACGTATTTCCATCCCTGCCCTCCTTCCTCCGCCCAGCTTGTTTTAAGTGGCATAAGCTTTGTCAGTTCTCATGTACCAGATCTGTCCTTTGGACTCAATTCTTCTGCAATGCTTGTGAGATAAGTTTTATGACAGTTTATATGGTGATGCCAATCAAACCGTGCACTTTGGAATGTCTTTCATTTTTCTACAGTCTGTGTGAATATACTGAAAAACATCAGCCTTGTTCATAAAACTGTATCATTCATTACTAATACTGACGTGCTATTTGAATCACTGCTAACAGAATATAATCTGTTATATCTATCAGTTTTTCATATAGGACTAAAATAAACGTATTTTTACCCCTAATTGCAATGTAGAGTCAGAGCAGTTGAGAGAGAATAATTCCTGGAGACCTTTGATAGCTGTAATTATCAAACTGAGTTGTTTCTTCTTTTTTGTTGATGTTGTGTGCACCTGATAGGAGACACAGCATGTAAGCCTGCCTTCTGGAAAAAATGATACTTATAAAGTGAATAAGTTGTGCCCTATCTTATGAAATTTTGTCATTTAAAAATCTTTGAGGCAGTTAATATGGAATCATGCAAAATATACCTATACTTTAATTATCCTTGCATAGGGAACCACCATTCACAAAACAGTTTCAGTGTGGGTATAAATGTTTTTTCATTAGGCAATAAAACATTTCATTTGACCTGAAAATTGAATGGGGGCTATATTTGACGACAGTTTTAAAAATCTACCTCCAAAGAATAAAATCTTCTTTTGATTCTTAACTTAGTAATGTAAAACTCATCAACAGAAATGCTAAAAACAAAGTAGAACTGGGAGGATACAATGCAGCCCAGATTCTTACATGTCTCAGCTCAAATGCAGTTTTTAAGCATTAATTCTGTAAAAAAGAATGAGGGTATAATATGATCCCACATTCATATTTGCTTCTAAACTAACATTATTTTCTGTCTTTTTCTCCCTGTTATTTCTTTGTTATTTCTGTTTTTCCTTCTTTCCAACTACCTGTCAGTCTCCTGTCAGCCCTGGCTATGAGGTATGTTCTGAATTTACTCCCTACCATGCTATCAGCAACATCCACTTTTATGATTATCAGAAAGAATTTGAAGGCATGCAGGAATTAAATCAGTAAAGTCCAGATTCCAAAGTGAAGGTCATAATTCTTATACTAAACAATAAAATTAATGAGTGTTAGAATATTTCAATACAAAAGTGACTTTTTCATTTCTTAGATATGAAAGAGGTCATTGGTTAGACTGAAGCCCTATTTTATACAGGTAGTAACACATGGGTGGAAACTTTAACTTCACTTTCAGGACTTGGGAATTTGCTGGAGTAATGTAGAAAATAAGTATTTTATTTTTAAGTTGAAAAAACCACGCATTCAAGTGCTCAACAGCAATAAACTTCTGACACCATACCACTATTGGGGTAGCTCTTTCTTTCAGACTGTGGTTGAATTAAAAAAACCCAAAACGGTCTAGGATTCTGTATTTCTGTGGAAATAGCCATGAGCAGTAACAAATAAGTTACAGCTCTATATAAAAAGAGTGTCAAGTCTAAATTAGAAAAAAAAAAAAAATCAAGTGGATGATTCATGTCAAAAGTTGCTCTCTTTGACTTTCACTATGGAATTTCTAAAGAATTTTGGTTTGTGTTTAAAGTTTCAAAAGCTTTTGAAACTAAGTATTGGCATCTTTCCCTTGTAGCATGTATTTGGGATGCAACCAGAAAAGAGCAGGCTTTGCAAATGTTAGACTACATTTTAGAAATACTACATTTTAGAAATATGACATAGTTAGTCTGAGGAATATTTTGTTATGCTAAAATGAAGATTTCCATGGTCAAACGTCTATTTATTTGAAAGAAATAACTTTATTTCCTATAATCATAGAATGGTTTAGGTTGGAAGGGACCTTAAAAATCACATGATTCCAACTCCCTACAATGGTTAGTCATCTTGTTAGTCATCTTCCACTAGACCAGTTGCTTAAAGCCCCACTGAACACTTCCAGGGATGAGGTTTCTATTTCTTCCTAAAGCACATACATTCTTACTGTGTGCCCCAGAATTCCAGCTCCACACAATATCCATAAACCACAGTTTTTGTAATATCTAAGATAATTATATTCTAAATACAGTGCTGTCTGATAAATGATGAATCCACCAATCTGGATGATGGTGGGTTACCCTAAAGTAGCAGTGGTTAAAGGTAGGCATGGAAAAAAATGGTATTTGGAGGAAAAACAAAATTGTATTTCTCTTGTGAAAAGAAAATGTCTTAGCTATCTATGGTTTTGTTTCAAAATAAATTTATATAACACAATAGAATTGTATTTCTATTTTTTAATGTATGTTTCCATTATTTTGGGAGGGTTTACTTGTTTTCTAGAAATAATTAATATGGTAAGGTTATTTTATAAACACACTTGGAGTAATTTCTCGGAGGAAGTCTAGCTGAGCTTTGCTTTTAAAATAGGAATGAAGTGTCTCATGAGGCATAGGTAAGTGGAATGTTACACATTATTTGTGCTTTTTGATGAAGTATCAGGAATTGCAGTTCCTTTTTTGCTAAAAAATTTAAAATTTAAAATGTAAATAGTTTTGGTTGAAAAGACTTCTTATGTGTCACTGACAGAATACAAAGCACCAGGTGTTGCTTGCCTCTGTAGATTTGTTATAAGCAGAGCTGGCTTGAGGCTTTTTAGCTATATATAGAAGAGTGATTTTGCATAACTAGGACAGTGGATGCTCTGGGAGGGAATTGTCTTGAGTTGTAGGTGGCCATTTTTTCTTTATTCCCTCACACCCAGCACTTAATACAGATGCCCTTTTGTCTTAGCCCACTGAAATAAGGAGTCCTTGTTTCCAGTGACTCAGAAATAGCCACTCTAAGAAGTCTTTGTTTTCCACACTCCTACAGAAGATGCATCTCCTTTTCCCAGTTCCAGTCCCTGTAAAGTCTTGTATGCCTCCCCAGCTCACTGAACTGGAAAAAAAAGGCCCTTGAGAGAGGGAATAAAGAAGAGCTGGGGTGTTGCAGCTGAGAGCATCTTGGTGCCTTAAGCCACTTCTAATTACAAGTCCTTTTCTAATGGCTGAAGTAGAGTTCATTAGACTGAAGATCCTCAAAGGCAAAGTTAATATTTTCTTTTGAAGACACTTGAGTTAACTGTGAATTAATAGCATTCTGTTATGTTTTGTTCTTGTCATCCTCAAGTTATCTTTCCGTGCTCCAGTGATACAGAC